AAATGCTCATTTTTCTAGCATTTAAATCTGTTTTTCTAAAACAGGAAAAGTGAATATTATATATAACACAAAATGTCAAAGAACAACTGGACAAAAGATATAGAAACTAGAGATTTTATTGGCATCGTTATAAATAATATTAATGTTTGAGTAAAATGTTAAAACGTAAAAAGGTTTTGAATGTTTCATTTTACTTTTTTATTTAAATAATAAAATGTTAATGGAGAAGAAACAAGTAGACAAGATCAAAGAGTTGGAGGGATGAAAGTAAAAAGAAATTAGCAAGACATGTTTAAAAAATTAAGAATTTCTTTATTTCAAACTTTTCTTATTATCAAAAATAGTGAATACTTTTTCTAATACATATTAAGTATTAAGTAATTAAAGAATGATTATTATGTTATATCCACTTGTAATTAATTAAATTATTAACTTTTATAAATGTCAATCTTGAAGCCCACTAATTCTTATAATTCTTATCCTATTAATTACTTTCCAACTGATGCAGTTGGAGATCTTATTAGCCCATGAAGAACTTCGCAGCTAAATCCTTAGCATTATTACCGGTGGCTATATTTGTAGTGTTTAATGCTAGATTTTAAACTTTAAGAAGGATAAAAATGAGTCTTGAGAGCAAAAGGAGAGGCTTAATTGGGTGCTTCAAGATAAGCCTTTTCTTCCCAGGGTTGTGCATCTGTAAAACATTAATTCCACAAGCTTGGTAGGGGTAAGAATGTTTATTTATGTTATATTACAGTAGAAAACATTATGTGTTGACTTCCCTTTATATAAGAGACAAGGGTAGTGTCTGAGATGTGTTTAGCTATCACTTGCAGCTTTAGAATTAGAATGACAATCGAAACAAAAAGAATAGTTTTGCAATTCATTATCTGATCAAGTTCTTGCAGTTCCAAAGAGAATCAAAGGATCGGCTTGACTTGGTGAACCAGGGAGCTGCAATTGCCCATACTCATTCCAAAAAGGTTCTTCCAGTTCCACCATATTAGTTGAATTCTATTACATTAAATAGGAAGGTTACCATCAGACCTGTATCAATATCTGGTCAACACAAAACGATTCCTACTCATCTTTTGAGTTTGCAAATATACCCTTTCTGGGAACCTATCGCCAGGCGAGACGATGTTCTCATACTCCAGTTAGTTTGTAACATACTTTCTATCTTTGCTTCAGCTTTACTCATAAAAGTTAAGCACACTTCTTTTTTCAAAGTTAACTTTGTATTTCATTCAAGAAAGACTGTACAAAAGCTGCTCAAG